AATAAAAGATATGTATTTCCGTCGCAAATTGCTATTTGCTGCTTATAAAATCTAGAGTCGATGAAAGAAGGGTCTTACCTCGATCTTAGGTTCGTAATTCACCTCAAAACCTTCAAATATATTCAAACCCCTGCTGTCCCAACTCTAAAATGTGATATGCTACGCAATCGATAAAACAAATTATACCACGATGATGAGCCCAACGCGTAGAACAACTTTCGTCAAGGACTTACGTCGAGAAAATCTATATTTCACTTGATCCTAAAAATGGGTTTCTATGTTTTCTCTGTATATTTAGCTTAAAATGAAGAAAAAACTCGAAGAAGAAGATATATACAACTTTCCACCGACCTAGGGCCCCACCTCACGTGCCTGCTTGCGCAGTCCCACGAAAATGCGAATATCTCTCTATTCTGAAGTCGTATGAATGAACGGTTTGATGCGTTGGAAACTAGACTCGTAGACCTTCGATTCGATAGTTTGTGGACCCCATAACTCTTTATAGATTGGGAGAAAACCTCCAAAACATTTGACCCAAATTTCAGAGAAATCTTTAAGAAGGAACTTACGATAACTTCCGCCAACTTTTATTTTGCCACTTACCTAACTTCAAAACATGAGATGCAACACTTGAACACTTAAATTAGGACATACCACATCATTCTAAATTTATTACCCACCCTCCTTGTCTTTCCGTGGAGATACGAGTAATTTTAGACGTTTCAAAAAGTCGGGGTGTTACAGAGGGTTGCCATGAAGGGGGTGGCACTGTAGAGGGAAAGGTGAGTTTTCTGCTTCAATGGATAGCAGGGGAAGTGAGGGGTGGCTTAAGTTACAGCTTTTCTCATTTTTTTACTTTAAAATAATTTCCTTTTTCTTTACTTTATAATATAATTTTTAAATAATATTTTGGATTAAAAAATAACTCATGTCATTATTTAATTAGTCAAATTGACATGTCATCGCGAGTGTATTTTACACATTTTTTACTTTTAGCTTATTCTAAAAATTTGTTTAAATGGTTCAAATTCAGGAGGGTAGAGGTGTTCAATAGGTACATGTCCTCGTTGGAGTGACTAAGTGAATTATGCGGACAACTTTAAGGTGTTGTAGATGACTTAAACCTTTTCTTTATGTTGCTAGTTTTTGGAAAGGTGAAATGCATGAACACCCCCACTAACTTTTTGCCATTTTTCATTTTAACACTTCATCTCAATTTTGTTCTAGTTAAACCCTTCAACCCCATATTTATATACCATTGTACACAAAATATTATGTATATTCTTCAATGACACTTTTGCACTTTGAAAAGCGATGGATGACTGTTAGTTTCGTAAGAAGATTTTCATGTTTTTTTCTAATAGTGTTATCAGCAATGAGCTAGATGTTCTTTTAGCTATATTGAAGATGATTTTTTTTCTTCATATATTGGAGTTGAGTTAAAAATTAGTAAGCGAGTATTTTTGGTTAAGCCCAAATGACGTGAAAAGATAAAACACATGTTGTTATTTAATTAGATGTTTCATACTTTTTTAAAATATTATTAACACATGAATAATTTATATTGAATGATATTTTTTGTGTTTAAATGATACATTAAAAAAAAGCATTAGAGGGTTAAAATAAAATATAATTGAAATGGAGTGCCAAAATGAAAACTAAAATCATGTTTAAAGGGGGTTGTTTAGGACATAGATAGAGCTATTTATGAAAATTTCCCATAACCTAAACATGAGTTATTGGGCCAAATTGTAGTCCAACTTGATTTCGGGGCGAAAACTGTTGGGTAGACCTTCAATCACTTGGGAAATTTGCAGAAAAAATTATTGCTAGTTTCGGTTCAGATGCTCAGCGCCTTTAGCCAATTTTCGATGATTTAGGTGAATTTCTTTGTGATTTGGACATTTTTTGAATTGTTTGAGTTACTGTTTCGTTGACGATCGGAAAGTGTCATTTCAGGCATGAGATAATGAAAGAGAAGAATCCAACTGTTGCTGCTTCTACTTCAATTTTCAAGAAAGTATTGTTGAATTGTTCAGCTCAGGTTTGTCCTATATGGGTATCCCTTCATTCTTTTTATTGTTTGTTTTTCCCATAAATTTCACACATATAACTCAAGTAAAAAGTTGTAAAGATTTGATGGTTCGTTTGATATCCTTTCTTTCCATTTGTTGTCCTTTTCCCCAAAAAATTGATACATATAGCTAAAGAGGTAAACTTTATGTGTCCCTTCATGTTTGATTGATCTTTTAGGCAAAAGGTTTTATATCATCATATATATATGCTTTGTAATGAGTGGGGGTGAAATATTAGACCCGCCACCTATCTGATCCTGTTTGTTTGTTTTTTTCCATATCCCTCGTGTCAGAGATTGAGAAATACTGAAAACATGAGGATCTTTTAACAGCTTATTTCTACTTCTCTTACAGGCGAAAGTGTATGGAAGTTGTGTTGCAGCAAAGGTTCCAGAAGTAGAACGTGATATGTGTTTAAAAGAATTCCTTGAATTGAGCAACTGCATGAAAAGTGTGGTATGATAAACTCGCCGTCATGTTTGAGTTAGAAAAGTTGCCTAAATATGTGCCATGTCATCCCTTCGCTTGCCTGATTTTCCTGTTTATTTAACAGATAAGAAGAAAGGTTTGAATAGTATATATATGCAAGTTAGAGTGATAAGCAGCTGTTGTTGAAAGTTGAATCAAGCATGAAAAGGTATGACGTTTTTCGTTTTTGAAGGATAATATTATTGTTCATTTAATTATAATGTGTTAGCATATAGCTCGTTGGACAGTTATATTTATTTAATCATTTGCAGTTTGGCATAGGTTAGGTGTTCCTCAGGTCAGTAGTTCTACATAGGGGGAAGTGAAACATGTCAGCACAAGCATCTTCTTCTCAGCCTTCTGGTTTTGGTAGTTCTGGGGCTCTATCACATGTGTATATTCAGCATCCACCTTTAAGATGCAAAATCTCAGGCGCAAGAAATATTTTCTATGATGATGGCACGAAACAGCTTATTGTTCCCACATCTGATCAGGTAAAATGCTAGGCGAGAAAGATGAACTCAGTCACACATGGTCTACATTGATGTTTTGACAAATGATACCGCAGGATATTTTTGCTTGCTATTACCGGTGAACTAAATGGTGGTCACTCCGTTTGCAGGTTTTCTGTTGGAAAACAACTCCATTTAATCCAAATGTGACTCCATCCTCTGATCAAATAGGCGAAGGTCCAGTTTTGTCCATTCGATTTTCTTTAGATTTAAAACTTCTGGCTGTACAACGATCCCATCATGAGGTTCAAATCCAGAACAGAGAGAGTGGGGATACTTTTAGTTTCAAGTGCAGGTCTGAGTCAGAAAGGATTCTTGGATTCTTTTGGACAGATTCACCGACGTGCGATATTGTCTTTGTGAAGACCAGGTATATAGCACAAATAGTTCTCTCTTAAGTTTCTTGTCTGCATCGGCTTCCATAACTATTTGATTACTTCATGGTTCTTAAATGTTAACCTACCAAAAGAATAAGTGGATTTTTCATCAGTAACTTAAAGCTACTTTTTGTGTCTTTTTAAAATCTGTACAACTGACTTTAGAGTTAATTCCCTCACTAGGATAGATCTTTATAATCTATTTGATATATTGGCATGTCTGGATTGGATATATTACCTTATTTGTGTAACTGTTTCTGAATTTTTAGTCATTTTTGTAATCAGAACTAGCTTTTGGTTACATCAGAAAACAGCTAACAATTGTTTAATGAGGAAACAATTAGCTATCTAATTTCAGTTTCAGAATCCAAACTAAACTGCCTGTTGTTGTGAACTCTGCTTTATAGTGTTTTTTTTTGTCGGTAAAGGATAATTTTGTATTAGTAACAATAAGACCTGAACTCTGAGGTCGCAGGTTCAAAACTCGGTGGAGACAAAAAATACTAGGTGATTCTTCCCATCTGTCCTAGCCTTGGTGGACAGAGTTACTTGGTACCTTGGTACCTGTTTCTGGTCGGAGGTGGCAGTTATTCCATGGAATTAGTCGAGGTGTGCGAAAGCTAGCCGGGACACCACGGTCATCAAAAAAAAAAACACAATAAAACCTGCAAAAGATGATGCTGGAAAAGTTGCTCTGTTTTATACTCATGGTGACCAAAAAAATTATTTCCATCAAAAATTCTTTTTTTACAAGAAAATTCGGAATGTCTGTTTTCCATATCTTCAATAACATTTTCATATGTTCCGTTATATATTTAATTATTTTAATCCACATGGTTTCTGTAAGGGCTACAATTTTGTTTTCTTTTTATAAGGTAATGTTTATTAATAAGGTACCAAACTGGTATAGAAACAGAACAGGACTCAAGTACCTCCCAAACAGCAGACTAAGCTACATGTGCCCTCCCAACAGATACAAAAAGTCCAGATATTGATCCATACATTCTAATGTACTACTTTTACACCAAATACAAAAATTATGCAAACATTTGTTCTTGATTCTACAGACACAAATTCTCTTCCCTTCATAGAAAGAATTATTTCTTCCATTTGGTCCAGAATATACAAATGGGAATTTCCATAGCTGCTTCATGCTTCTTGAGACTTTTTTGCCTTGCCAGCTTTCCAATTAGTATTGTATCTTCTGAGGCATAACCCATGATATGCCAGCGTTGTTAGAAAGAACTCCTAGCATTGTCTAGGAAACCTGCAATGAAGTAGTAAATACTCCATAGTTTTTTGATCTTTTCTTACAGAGATGACCTCTCTTGCATCAATTTAAAAATAAAAATAAAAAATGACATCTGTTGCTTACTGAAAAACCTCTTCACTGCAGATTGTTTTGAGTTAAACATGTCTCCTTGGTTGCAATCCAATCCAAAGTAGGCTGCCTTAACCTAGGGCTAGGTTTTGTCTTCCAAATCACCTTCCAAGGACAATTTAGTATACCAGAGCCACCCTGCTGCAGTAATAAGCTGTAGCAATTCCTTACCTAAAAGGCTAAAACCCTCTTTTCCCTGCTGTTGACTCGAACCAAACTATTCACTTTATTTTGATCAATTGATATTGATTCCAACTGTTGAAGTAACTGACAAAAGTCTTCCATTTCCCCGTCATCAGATATCTTCTCAAAGTTAACTACTACCTGGAACTTGAATAGAAGTCGATTTGACCATCTTTCCTCATAGAACAACTGAATATTTGATCATTAAGCTTTCATCTCCAATCCAAGAATCAGTCCAAAACCTTATCTGGCCCCATCCCTGACCTCTAATTTAGTGTTCAGTAGAAATTCATCCCACAACACACTAATGCCTTTCCAGACCCCCTACTGGACTTTAATAATGAAGAATTATGTCTCCATTCCCCAACTATCCATGCTATCATAGATAGCATCCAGTACCTTCTTCCGAATTTCATCACCACCCCTACTATATATCTATAATCATTTAAATAACAAGCTCTTATTATGTAACTTTAAAGTCCTCACTCCCAATCTTCCATCCTTCTTATCATTTGTAATCACTTGCCATTTGACCAAGTGAAACTTCCTCTTACTGGCATTCCTTTCCCTGAGAAATTAACTTCTTGTGGAATTCAGTCTCTTTTCCACTACGACATACATTTTTTTTTTTTGAAATCAGTCACTTTGTATCATATCAGGGATCAAAACAGTACTTGGGTAGTACTGAAACCATATTTACAATAGAGCTCTAGTGTCTTTCCTCTCTAGCTATAAAGAATCTAGAACATCTATGATAGACACAGTATCATTAGAGTAATCTCAAAACATCTGGGATTCCTCTCCTTCCAAATTGTCCACCAGAAACAAGCTAGGACAATTCTCCATCTACTCCTATCCTTAGCATGTGAATATGTTCCCTCGCAGCTACTAAGAGCCTCTGTTATCTTGCCTGGAATTGTCCATGTTATACCCTTAAGGTTTAGGATGATTCTCCACAAATGAGCTGTGTATGGACAATGCAGAAATAGATGGTTGACTATCTCAACTGTTTCTTTACACAGGAAGCATCTTGAGCACAGTGTCATACCTCTGCTCATCAAGTTGGCCACTGTTAAAGTGGCCTCCTTTGCTAGTAACCATACAAAAATTGATACGTTGTGAGGAACTTTTATCCTCCAAATCTGCTTCCATGGCCAGTTTGCTATCTGGTGGTTGGACTGATTCATAATTTTATAGGCAGCATTGACCTTAAAAATGCCTTTGGAGTTGCCCTCCCACCATATATGATCTTCACCAGCTTGAACCCCAGGAAATTGATCAAGTTTGCCGAGGAGGCAATCCATCCAATACACTATTAATGAGGATGAGTCTTACCTCCAAAGGAAAGATATTGCTTCTTCGATGGAGTTACTTTATTTATATATCTATCTAGAACCCCTATCAATTATGAAATAATTTTGTCTTTCTTTTTCACCCCAGTGGCAACCTTAAATAAACTGTAGGGAATTTTTCCACTCTACACCTAAAATATTTGCCAACTACTCAATACAGTCATCACAATTAATGCTAAATTTACTACTTTTAGATAGTTTAATCTTCAACTTAGCAGAACCCTCTCAGATAAAGAAATTGATCATTTTCTGCCTCACAGAAGAGAAGAATATCATCAACAATTCAACATACAGATATGATTTACAACCATTCCCCCCACCTTTCTGCTGATCTCAAGTCCTTAAGCAGCCCACATTTTCTGCCCTTCTCAATATCATGATGAGAATCTCCATTACCAGAACAAAAAGGTAGTTTGATAAAGGATACCTAGTCTCGGTCCTCTTTGAGACTTGAAAAAGCTTTGAGGGTGACAGTTTATCAAAATTGAAGATCTGTCTGTGGAGATGCAGTTTCTGATTCATCCGATCCACATTTCACTTCATCAGTTTTAAATATCATGCAGACAAGATCAGTTGACATGATCATATGCCTTTTCTAGATCTAGTTTACATGCTACCCCTCTCTTCTACGTTTTCAAATATAATGTCCACAGCTTCATTGGCGACCATGGCCGCATCAGTAATCTGTCTACCTAGTATACATTCTGATTTGGTGAAATCAGCTTACTAATAATCTGTTTACGCCTTTCTACAATAGCTTTGCTATGATTTTATGTACACTTCCCAGTAGGTTGATAGGTCTGAAAATTTTCACCTCAGCTGCTACCGTCTTCTTATGTATTAAGTCAATGAAAGTAGAATTCAAACATTTGTTTAAGGTGCCTTCAGATGAAAATTCTCTACTAGCCTCCGTGCACCCATTTTGGCCATATTCTAGCATTTCCAGAGAGAAACAAGTTAAAACCATTTAGGCAAGAAGCCTTAGGCCTTATTTGTTTGCACTTAATAAACTTATTCTTAATCATTCAAGTTTCAATCATTAAGGCCTAATTTGTTTGCACTTAATGGAGGTATGATACTTAATCATTTAAATTCAGCCCATTAAGTGTGTTTGGTTTTAAGGTTTGAATCTTAATCATTCAGATTCAGCCTATTAAGTGCATTTTTTTTTTTTTTTAAGAAACCTCTTAATGGATCTAAAAAGATTTGAACGAATCAGATTTGTAGGAGAGTCTTAATACCATTCAGACTTATTTAATGCAGTTTAAAATCATCACTCTCGCTTTAATTTTTCTTCCTCTCTTTTCTCAATCAAACATCAATTTTTTCTCTTTGAATTGGTTAGTTTTCATAATCTTTACAAGTATTTTTCTTATATTAACAATTTTTTGGGGTGTAGTGATGTTTATCAAGAACACTTGACTTCTATCCTTTCAAGATTTGTGTACAAAACTTGAAAGTAAGTTCTAGTGCAACAAGAGTTCATGGTCGGAGTCCAAGTTGTACTTATCCTTGTCGTGGTATCTCTTATATATCTACTATTATACATTATACATATTGATACACCTGATGAAGTTAAGTGACAAAAAATATGGAGGTCTTAATAATTCTACATCCCAATCTTCAATTTCGACTGAAAGAAAAGTTTTGGGATGAAAAGAAAAATCTCTTTGTCTCAATTTGAAATTGATGAGAAGATGAGTATTGCTTTAGAGTTATTAATTAACAAAAATAGTGCACCTGAATTTGAAGGATGAAAGCATTTCGACTAAAAGAAATGTTTTGGGATGAAAAGAAAAGTCTCTTGTTAACCCTCAGGGGTTGGCCTGCTGGCAATTGACTTGAGCCTTGGGGTTTGCTCCCTTTCAAGGTCTCAAGTTCGAAACCCACTGGGTGCAACAATTTCTGAGGGCCATCGGACTGGGTAAAACCTGAATTAACCGTGGTGCACTTGCGGGAAACTCCTTGCCGAGGGCCTGTGCACCCCCGGGATTAGTCGGGGCTCAAAGAGACTCGGACACCCGGTGCAAATCAAAAAAAAAAAAAAAAAAGAAAAGTCTCTTGTTTCAATTGGAAA